TCTATAAGATAGAAGTTATATTGGACACCACAACAGTAAAAAAACTCACAAACCATTTATTAAAGGCATTTATTTAAGAAACAAAGTCCTAGAAACTTAACAATCTCCTAAATATAGAAGTAAACGATATTATGTATATTTTAAAGATATTAAGAGTTATTAATCTTTTTGAATTAGTTATTTAATATATTATCAGTGTTATTGGGATCTGCACGTTTAGGTACTTAAATTAATTAGGATAGATACACAAAGGGAAAGTACCTACTATAATGCCATATAACTTGATTAAAAGAGTTTGTACTGCATCAGTACTGCAGTACCAGAACAAAAAAAATACAGCTAAGATACTGTTACTAAATAATTCTTCGAGCACGGTGCAAGTATATTAGCAAACTTTTTAATTACTCTTTCGCAAATGATACGACAAAAAATTCTATAGGTACTAAAAGAAATTTCCCTTTGTGTGATTTAACCTTGAGATACTACAGTGTTTTATTCGAGTAACGTTATTAAATTAAATGGAACACAATTCAGTGACATTTCAATTATTCTATTATGCAGTGGATATGCATGGGTCACTCGAGGGTTAAATATACAAACGAACAAACGAGAAAATTAAAAATTTTGTAAGTAAGCCAATTCTTGTGATACATGGAGAATTTGGGTGACCAGGTGAACGACGTACTCCATAAAACATTGGTGATACGGAAAACATTTTTTTCTCACAGTACAATGTATTTATACATTCGGAATTAATTTGTGCCGGTATGATATCGAGTTTGGGTCGGTGAAACGAGTTTACTGTTAAATTTTTGCCAACGTGTCCCTTGCTCTATATCTGTGCTTTAAGTGTCTGAGCTGACCTGAAATCGCTTAAGATGGAAAAGGTCAAATTTTCCAAAGGCACTTTTCAAAACAGAGAACTCCATTATTGTGTACCCCGTAGGGAAGGAAAATTGAGACTTAAATCACAATTGCTCAGCGTTTTAAAAAGGAGTCATGCTCCTTATTTAGATTCGAAGTCTATTTAGAAACAACGAGATCCGATGAAAGTAGCCCTTTATGGCGGATGTGCTGTGTGCTGAAATGGCGCGAAGAATATAATATGATACACGAATCCATAATTAAATATGAAGTCACGAGGGTCAGCTAGCTAGAAATTAAAATTCTTAGTACGCCAATTGTTCATAATTGGAATCAAAATGAATTGAACAAGTCAAAATTTGGAAATTATAGTGGTTCTATGTTTATTTATAATACTACTTTCTCCGTTTTTTTAAATGACTGGGACATTGCATACACTGTAATATATTATGTATTATTGCTATATTATTATCAGAGAAACAATCAATTTTGTACCTTATTATTAATCAATTATTACTATCATTTAAACCATCTTTCATTTAGGTGAATATATTGTCTATCTGTAACACTCAGTTATTTTATACATAATATACATACATCATATTAATAAAATCGTGTCAGTAAAATATACTAATAATAAATATACAATAATACATCGCACCAAATACATAATGAACTGTTGACCTTTGGCTAATATGAGCGTGGCATGGCGTTTTGGTTTAATTAGATGCTTTATAAGCATGCATTATTGAAATGACTTAGACTTATAATAATTATATTTGAATCTATAGCTATGTTTGCACAAAAAAGATGAACTTACACAGGACACTTCTATCCCACTGTGTGTATAATCAGACTTTTGACTTGTCTTTTATTGGGACTACTATCTACAAAATATTTATACTATAGGTAACTGACAACATCTCGACAAAACATTATATTACTTATGATCATATAGTGAGCGTTCATTAAATATTTTCACTCAGTTAAACGAGTATTATATGGTGTTATAATTGAATTTAATAAATAATTCTATTTTATTGTAAAATTTTACATCGCTCTGCAACATAAGTACCAACCGAAGAAAATATCTCGCATAATAAGCTTACAATCATGATAGCAGCGTCACAATACTTACACTTAATTTAAAACTACATCTACTCAGGTCACATTTTGTGTTTTTGGTTTCCTTAATTTCGTAATTATTACAGCAACACTTCGACTGCTTATTTATAATTTTGCCAATTAACATTTCGAGTGTTTACGACATGCAGTTTCATTTAAAGTGACAATTTTTGACCGACCCTAACTATAAATAATGCATCAAATGAAATAAAAAAATATTATAAAGTGATGCAATAACACATTTTTCAATAAGTGATCATAATAATATCTTACAAAAATATGGTGAAATCCTTGATTCATTATTATATTTTGCCATATTATGTTTGGATAAATTAGAATACATACTAGGATGTTCAATTACTTTGAAAGATTAAATCATATTGTAAACGTAATTTTAATTAACTTTAAAAATATGCTACATGCCCCTCTAAACTGTTTCGGTGATTACACGTTATAATGATTAGGGGTATGTATACATATTAGTCGAATTACTTATATCCAGCACCTGTTATATAAATAAAATAGTATACATATTTGAAACTAATCATCGGTAAATTTTTATAACTTAAATTAACATACAATAAATTTTATACACATTAGTACTATATATTAATTAATGCACAAACGATACAGATTCACAAACCCGCGTATTTATTATTTCATTAAATATACCAAACTTGTTGTTGTTGATTAAAAATGGTAAGTACGACCCTTAGTTTAGATTTTTTATTATTGCCATTTTTCCGTTTATGTCAGAATTGAAAAGGAGAAATTACATAAAATATTATGATAATAACAAGATGACGTATGTATTCGTATGTTTGAAAGTTCTAACTATTCGCGTATGGTTCATTATAAGTCACAACTAACTTCTACACAGCTAAATTATAGGTCATTATTAAATTAATAAATTCAGGTAAAATTAAAAACGTTTAGTCTCAGAATATAAAGTTACCGGTAAGGAAATCAGAACTGTCACAAAGTCACACGTTGCCTGACAATACGCTAAAACTTAGGCGGCGTGCGCCCGCACCCAACAACAGCGCTGGAGTAACAGGCACCGGTCTGGTTACTGAATTAAAGTTTAATTAATATAAAGATTATTTCATTACGAACACGGTGGTATGTAAACCAGTGAAAAGTAAAAAAAAACAATTTTTAGACAACCCATGAGCAATATATTTATTGACATTGTATAAAAATACTTTTCATCCATTAACCAACAAGTCACACGCATACGCTGCTCAGATCATACATACGAGTACATATTCTACGGTGCGGGTACACGCGCGCGTTTTATCGGAGACCCTAAAAACTGCAAGTTTGCACACAGCTGCTGTGCTACGTGTTTTAGAAACTCTTGGTTATTTCAAGTGTAGCAGTAACGCCATATAAATGTCATCCGGCAACCATAAAATGTGAAGTTTCCCAGCATGCCCATGAATTATTATGTATTTTAAATAAAAACTATTATAATATACCTATTCACAAGCCTTAGATATAGAAAATATTGAAAATTCTCTATAGGTCATCACGTTAATTTATGGCTATCACTTTAATAATATTGATAGAATAGGTATTTCCATGATATAATTTTGGAAATAATGTGCAATACGTGGCATACTGGTTCCTTTTTAACGCAAGGTCCTTTTTCATAATCGTGATATTCGTGACATTACAATGTATGTACAATATTATATAAAACCCGTCATTTTGTTTTTCATTTTCGTTTGTCGTTATCGCTCTTGATAATAGGCCACTATTTAGTGTGACAACCGGGTTGTTATTTATTTATAAGGTGTTAATAGAAGCCTTGTAATGATATTGACATTATATACATATCTTTGGAAATATCTAGTCATAATATATTTTTTACATTAGATTTTAATTTTCATTTTTTTACTTAAGTGCAATAAATGCATACAACCGCTCTCTAATACAGGTGCTCTACCCAATCTGTGAATCGCCATTGGTGGTATAACTAAAGGACCAACTAAACAAAATACCACTTTATAATATTTTACAAGGGAAGCAATCTTACCCTGCCCGAAAAAATTAAATGCAAATATAATATGTGCTTCGGAAGGCACATCAACCAGGAGGTTTCAAGAGGTTTGTGTGATGCCTACGGCATAGAATCAGACATCAAGGATTATTAAGGACGTTGCACATTTATCAACCCGGAAAGGGATCGTAACCGTATCAACTGGAGTCGGTCAGTATTCTTTGTATGAAACTCCATACTGCAACGCATACTTCCGCCCCGTAACCGTAACGTAAACGCCTCGCCTCGCGATTGACAGCGCGCGAAATGCGATGATAGTTCGCGAAAGCACAGAATAATAATAAGTAAAGGCGATATGATGTTGATCCCTTTCAGAGTTGATAACTTTGCTATAAGCTATAACCAACTTTTCAAAGCAATATTATCTAAAACTTCTGCACGAAGTGTTCGACTATGAGAACTATTTTGTATGAATAATTTATTTTGTAGAAATTATTGTGTGTGAATTTTATGGATTGTAAAATAAATACTAAGTTTTAGATGTATTTCGCTTAATTAAAACTTTCGTTCTTTAAGCCGATTTCGATCATTAATAGTCTATCTATAGCATCAAGCAACAATACATTTTATAAATTCGCAGTACATTAAGTTAAACTTGGTTTTGATGTCTAATATTATTATTTTGATGTTACCCAATGTTAATATTAATATTTTTTAACATATAGACATGTAGGATGATGATGATGATAATAATGTTTTGAATTATGTTCCTCCTCTTGTTATAAATAAACGTTTATATAATTTATATGTATTATATCTAGAGGAGGCTCTATACAGGGTTATCTTTATGTCTAAATTCAAAATATTGAAATTATTGTAAATAGCTGACCCGGCGAACTTCGTACCGCCTTAGCGTAGAGATTTTCTTAATATTTTTTTCCGTAAGAACCATCCTTGGACTTCCACAAACATTTAAAAAAAAGAATTATCGAAATCGGTTCAGCCGTTCACACGTGATGCCGTGACAACGCGAAACGGGTTTCATTTTTATATATATAGATTTTCACTCACATCGAGTTTCAGTTCATTTATTTAACGTTTCGGTAAATTGAATGTAAATCAATCATATGTTAGTCGTAAACACATTAAAAACGACGTTAAGACTGAATCACTACAAACAACAAGCAGTGTTTTATTTAAAAAGGCTACCGTTCTGTGTTATTTCAACGTGTAAGTAATGCGTGTTTAAAAATTACATTCTATAACATTTATATGTTAAGTAGTAACAATTATGCACCTTTTAACTTTTTATTTGTCATGATATTATTATTGCAGCCAATTTAACCAATTGACTGCAATATACATATTGTGTATGTAACGTATAGAAGAATAATTATTATGATAATGTATGTAATAGGAAACTTTTCTTTTATTTATTTTCTAAGAAAATAAATAAAAATAAGTGTATTAAGAATGTTTAAGTCAATGCACCGCTGTTTACTCGCTTGCCATTATTCCGCACCGTCCTCAAATTATACTATGTATATTGTATATGATTTATTTTAGCTTAAAACAAAAAATAATAATTACCTAAGTTAATATTAAAATTACTTATAATTACATGGATTTAGAGTGTAGGATATATTGTTATTGTTTTATTATTACATTTTGAATGGATACTTAGGCACTTAATCTGATAACTCTGATTCTAGTTTATAAAATATATTTTTACTTTGGAAGAAGAGTATTTGTTTTGACATTTTTTAAAACAATTGAACTAATAAAAGGACCTAAATATTTTACCTATAAATAATTTCAGCTAGACTAGATTGACAACTTAAACAGGTACATAGCTAACGAGATCATATTACGCCGCGTGTACAATACGAGTTTATTCCGCAAAATAATAAGGTTCGTGCGTTCAGCGTTCATTCGCAAAATTGGCGATTATCTTAAGGCATGCCCACTTATCACATAAACGTAAATAAGTTCAGTATAATAGTATGTTGGTACAAATAAAGGTTCAAAAATAAATAAATAAAAAGATACATCTTACTGGACCCACGACGCAGGCACCCAGAGAGGTTCGGACTGTACCTTCCAAGCTGCTTTCATGAGCTGCGAAAGAGCACTGGCCAAGTCTTCATTTAAAATTTCTTCGTCAAACATATATCCGTAGAGGAAATTAATACGATTTGATGAACGTATTATATCCGAAAATTCTTCTTCCTGTAAATGCAGAAGTTTTTTTTATACAATAATAAAAAATAAATACTTTCATATGCTGTCAAAAAGACACTTCTTCAGACATAGAAATTTAATAGGGGTTCAATAATAAAATGTCTTGTTTAATGAGATTAAAATTATGAGTAATATGAAAAATGAATACCGTAAAAGCTCGAGAGCTCTCTTTGTCAAAAGTGGAACGAGCATTAGCAGCCGTTCTTGTTTCAGTTAATTTCTCTAAAGGAGGCGGTTTGATGAAGACTATATACGGTCGCAATCGAGGCGTGCGTAGCATCTTTAACGCTTGCCAGTGAGGACTAATGACACACACGCGCCCTGAAAATAAGACAATAATCAAATTTTGATCGGTGTTAAATCACAATATTATCACAATCACAATATAATATAAATGGTATGTCTTTTACTTAAAAGATCACCTGAATTCACGATACTCTCTACGCTCTCTGCGGAGGTGCCATATAGATTGCCTTTATATTCTCCATGTTCTATGAATTTTCCATCTGCAATATCTTGTTCCATTTTCTCGCGACTGACGAAAACATATTCTTTGCCATTCTGTTCACTTGGTTTCAATGGACGAGAAGTAACTGAAATGTAAAAATTAATAGAACTAAGTAACATACACTTTATTAATATCTCTTTAGTTACTTAATTCTATAATTAGGTCTATGTAAGGATTTTGTTTCATGTCTGTCACAATTCACAAAACTATACAGGGTGTTAGGTAAATGGGTATATGAGCCGAAACTAGCCCATGTTAACATACTCATATAAATACTATAGTGGTGTCAGAAAGTGGATATCGTAATATTTAATAAATAATATTTTCCCATAGAAAACTAAATAAATAATTATTATTTTAATTTTTGGACAGCCCTACGATCGCGCAACTCCCTCCTAGGTCAAACGTGGTCAAACGGTATTTCATTCACAAATTTAGACGCGAGTCGGCACCGCCCACTTTTATTATTACTTTTGAACCAATTCTTCACTTACCTCTTTTTATTGACTCTGCAAGCAATCCAAGATATTCAGGGGGTAACACTTCACTCTAATTCACAAAACGAATCGCAACACATTATCACATCCATCCACTCACTTATTTACCTTCCCACGCTTTCAAGTGACCGGGTAGGTACTTGTAGTGAAATCCTATTTTCAAGAACGGGATCTCCGGGTCTCCCTTCGCGGTGGTATGGTGGTGTCGATTCACCCACCCGCGAAAACATTATGACACAAGGTATCGTGGAACGGAAGGTCTCCCGGACATAAATCGTTCATCACACCAAAGAAAACACAAAGTCCTATTGCACCAACGCCATAATGTCATTGTATTACTTAGCTATTTGAATATCTAATTATCCAGAACGTCGAACAACAAAACATCGCAACAAACTGATCAAATAATAATGTAAACAAATAAACATGGACTCTACACGTATTTTTCACTTTTTCAAACTAATGAAAATTTAAAGAGATAAAGCGCGCCAAAGTTCATAAGAAGAGGCCCGTGACGTCGTGCATAAAAGTGCCGCACGTTGTGACGTCGTGCGGATCTTCAACGCACCATAACTATGTAATTATTTGTTAGATTGACAAATAAAAATATATGTGTCCAATATTTTTGGATATTAAACATGACGGACTAAAAAAATTTTTTTAGGAAACTAGCCTATTGGAATATAGTGGACAAATGCACATTTGTGCAGCGGACTTAGCGGCGTCTTTCTATGAGATCTGTGAAATTATATCGCAAGGGCTAGACAGGGTCACTTAGAAATAACTTACAGGGCACAGGTGTGACGAACTTTTCAGGGTCGGTGGCGACGAGTCTTCTCCGCAATTCATTCCTGCCAACTCCCGGCGCACCGACCAGCACAATGGGTCTGACGAGCCCTGGTCTGGGATACAGTCGCGCTACCTCCTCGTATGTCGGTATCATTTCGCGATCGAAATCGTCATTTTCTGTAATATCGTATATGATCTTTTTCACTTTCGGCGTAGACTTGCATGGCAGGAGTGCAGTGGCGGTCGGTGTGGGTGAACACGGGGTTTTGGGCGCGCAATCCGAGTTGGCAGTGGAAGGACTGCAAAGCGCTGGTTTACCTGCGGTGGGTACATGCAAAATGGATAATGATGATGGCCAAAGCTAATGCAATAGGTATTAATGTACTCGTATTTGGTTTAAACTGTTTTGATGGCAGATTATTCTCGAACATAATCGAGTCGCTTGGGCTGTGGATTTATTTGCAGCAGCCATTTTTTTATTTTAATAAAAATATCCATCTCAATATCAATATTGTAAACAGGACCAAAATATATATATTATCGGTGTTCTACTAATATTCACGATAATTTTAATACTTTATCATGTTTCAAAAATGGATTCCTAGAAAGTTTAGATGTGTTATTAAATAAATTAATTATGATAAGACACGTCGGCATGGAAAGTAAAGCTACTCTTACTAAATGCTAGATCCGCCGGACAATAAATTTAGACCAGCAGATTTTAGGGAACTATAAATAAACCAGTGAGAAACGGTAACCATAAATCAAGTAGGTAGTACGAACGTATAGGTCGCCCAGCGAAAGTTGAGACGAACACGTACTCACAGTGATATCAAATATCGAATACTCTTGCTAAATGTACGCAAACAAGACAGCAGTTGTTAGTGTCGCTATGCAAGACGACAGCAGGGCGAGAGCGTATAGATGACCTACACTGAATTGTCCCACCAAACTTATTGACACGGGAGCACCACCATCGTTCAACTATACAGTGTAAAATTAAAATTGTCTCTACCTGTAGCGGAGAATAATGTGGTGACAAGCCTTTGTTCAAACGATCATTGCAAACGTTGTGATAGGGATAGAGACATGCGATTTTTGGTTTTACAAAGTTAATACGATAGAGAATAATACAAAGTAATAAAAACCACCTGTTATGGGGGCATTATTTGGAGAAATTTATCAAATAGCCAAAAAAACACGAATTAAAATGCAAATTTTTCTCAAAAATGTATCATTTTTTTATTATTTGATGCCATTTTCTGGGTATTTTATGTATTTTTTTAGTATCACCTGTTATTTAGCATTATTACTGTTTTTATTTTATCAGGATATACCTCTTAGTTTAAAAGTTATTACGTTTTCTTTACAATAAGTAATCGGAAGAAAAAATATCTATAAAAAATAAAACAATAAATTTTTGACTCTTTTTTGTCGATAAAAATAGGTCTTGTTTCACATATTTTCATATGTGCACTTTATCGTGACTCACACTGTATAGTTTCCAACGTGGCAGAAATCTGAACCAGCGATCCGGTATTGACGGTACCCCTCGACCTCCCCCCCTGTCAATGTCACGGGTGGGACAGTTCGTTGTAGTTCATCTACAGGGCGGTGAAAGAGAACTGCATTCACTGTACATACAGTATTAAGAGTACTTTCCCTTCAGGTGGTATTACAAAATTATTAATAGACTAATCTTGGTTTGTATTGATCAGTTGATCACCTTAACTCTCGCTGCGCGACCTTAGGGGGCGTCCATAAATTACGTGAGACAATTTTGGCCATTTTTCAACCCCCCCGCCCCCCTTGGTGAGATTTGGTGAGATTTTGCCTGACCCCCTCCCCCACCCCCCTAATCTCACGTGATATTTAATAAAATGCCTATTTTGCCATGTCTATGCTTCGAGTCTATTAGATTTATATGAAAAAATCAGTAACCCAGTGTCGTGCCACGCGCAGTGCAGGGTCCGTAGCTTCCAGTCGTTTAGTAAGACAAGCAATTGCTTACGGAACCCTACNGTGATATTTAATAAAATGCCTATTTTGCCATGTCTATGCTTCGAGTCTATTAGATTTATATGAAAAAATCAGTAACCCAGTGTCGTGCCACGCGCAGTGCAGGGTCCGTAGCTTCCAGTCGTTTAGTAAGACAAGCAATTGCTTACGGAACCCTACACTGCGAGTGGCACGACACGCACTTTGCCAATTTTTTACGCAATAGCGATGCCGATGACGTTTTTTTTTTAAATTTCGAATTTTCTTAATTTCGACATTTATTCTGCATCTTTAGTGTTCACAAATACTGATGTAGGCATTTTTAGTTTAATTTGATTAGACGGTTTAGAATAAATTGTCATAATCATCATAAAAAAAATCATTCTTTTTACTTCAATAACCCAGTTTTCTGGCAATTTTACTCTATTTCTTGTAGGAAAAATTACGTGATATTTTCCGAAACCCCCCCTCTCCCCCACGTGAGATTTTGTGAGGTTTCCGTTGACCCCCTCCCCCCCCCTAAAAGTCTCACGTAATTTATGGACGCCCCCTTATACATAGGTACATCGTTTTATATAAAGAAACTATAGGTAGTTGTTGCAATTCACGAAGGCGAGTGAGCTTTACATGTATTGTACACGCGTCAATGTGTGCGAAGCTGCAAAATAGGTTCATTTTCAAATAAAATGTCTACTTTTTTAATTACGGCTATTAGATTTAGCCAGTATCAATTAATTGTAAAGTCCGTTCTTTTTTTTTTATTAATATCTACCATAAATAAAAATATTATACCAATAAAAACATATACAAGACATTATACACATTTGTTTAACATTTGTCTGACATTTGCAGTATAAAATATTTTAAAATTACATTTTTTGCTGTTCAACGGTTTCCACTAACCATATTAGTGGAAACAGTTATTATATTTATGGAACCAAATCAGTAAAAAAATATATCTTGTTTTTCGAATAAACATAAATAAAATACTTCGCTATGGATAAATATTTTTACAGGCAGACAGTAAGTACTTTGTGGTAGTAATGGATTAATTAGCATTAGAATTATTTAGGTAATCATCAGCATGCGAAATCATAATTTGCAATAATTAAATTAATAGAAGTTTCGAATTTTCATATGCTAAAATTCATGGTTAGCGCGCGGCTACGGTAAAGTACGCAACGGCGCGCAGAGAGCGCGTGCAGCTGTGCTGTTATTTATTTTATTTATTATTACTTATACTCGTATTTAGCCGTTACATCTTTGATAAATAGTGTCTTAAATCCTCTTGAGGTTAGTCCAGACACTATTGTTCTCTATACAAATACAATATACGTTTTAGTATAAGCATTAACAACTTTAAGAAATATAGGCATAGTTGCTTTTATAGATTCATTCACACACTCCGCACTGCGAAGTTCAACGATTTTGATGCGTCAAATGGCAAAAAATCGGAAATAGTGACCCAGCATTGATAGCAGCCCTCATGACATTACAGTGTTTTCCAACGTGGCAAAAATCGGAACCAACAATGCAGTATTGACAGTAGCGCCCTCCTGTCAATGTCAACGGGTGGATAATTTAGAATATAATAACTGGAAAAATCTGTCAAAAGTGTTAACCAAAGGACGATTATGATGGTTTTGACCGATTATGGATTTTGACTGTAACACATTTTTCATATTCTTTGAATTTTTATATTAGCATACAATTGCTATTGTATGCTAATATAATAATATAATGTATGTAGCATGCTATATGATAATATGAAATTTCGCATGCTGATGAAATTAATGAAAAATAGCATTAATTTCCATTACTACTTTGTGATAATTAACGTCGCATACACAATGACACGTGGAAATCGAGCGACACAGTTCACCCGCTCGCTACTGGTCGTTTTTCAAAAGTTTTGACTGTCATCACACTATCGTAAAGATTAACTACACTGAACTGTCCCCAGTGCCGGATTAAGCCAGCGCGGGGCCTGTAGCAAATTTCTATCAAGGGGCCCTTGGTTTGCTTTAGGTTCTCAAGTTTAGGGTATTAATAGTAATGGGTATTAATGGGGGAAAATTTAGAGATAACACTTTCAATATCAACTTTAAGCAAATCATGCTCTATATTCAACAAAGTAAGATGATTAAGACGTTCTTGTCCCATCGTGTTCTTTGATTCATTTTTAATACGTTTTAATGTTGAAAAAGAACGTTCGCCACTGCAGTTAGTGATCATGAGAGACATGTAAATGCGCAAGGCAATTTATAAGTTTGGAAAACACAATTCTAAAGAATTATTTATTAAAAGTTTTTTAAAATGATTAGTTTTTCAAAAGTTGTTTGTAAAATGATCTTTTGTCATACGTTTTTTGTTAAATAATAGTAAACCTCATTTTTTAATTATCCGCTTTTTTACTTGAGACTCTAAAACACCTTGCTCTTAATCTACCGTCACTAGCTTTCAATAATCTCGAAACATGATCGATATGATAATCGATTAAAAAGGTTAGCTATATTCACTCATAAAATGAATCTATATTTTATAACAAATCAACCAACTATAGTAGATTGGATCGTGACTGAATTAATAAATTTTAAATAGTTCGCCTGTTTTCTCGAAATATTGATAATCGATATTATATTAAAATCGATTAAAAAAGTATAATCTCGGCTACCTACGTAAACTCATAAAATAAATGTATACCTATAGAAAAAAAATAAAAATCTGGCCGCTTGAAGGGTAGAAATGTGGTATCTATAGATGNTTGGAAGCCTGCGGGTAGCGCCATTGGACGTGGAGAGGGTTATACACATATTTTCTACTTTGCCGAACATTTGCACGAGAACGGTTTGTTCAAAACATATATATTTGGTCTTATTTAATGCAGGATTAAATGCCCTTCAACCGTCAGGAAGACCACTTTTCGATAGGGTAAGTCCTTTACGCAGTATAACCGGAAAACCGAAAAAGCGCCCCTTTCGGGGGCCCCCACCACTTAAGCACAACTCTGTCGAAGTCGAAAACCTAGGAGAGTCTTTATGGGCAACTAATGAAGCCATTAAAGCACTAAAATCTTTAGTAGGAATTGTTTCAGATTTAATTCATTTTTGTGTTTAATTCTACTGGCCTATTAGAGAACATTCCGGTTAAAAAGTTCGTAAAATACCTACTTACTTATTTTTATGATTTAACGTGATGAAATCGAGTTTTAGATTTTCAAGTGAAAGTAAAGCATAGCCTAATGCAAAATATTTTACGCTCCTATCTAAATTAATCTTTTTTTATTTTGGTCAGACAGGCTTTGGAGCGCGGGGCCCCCAAATTCGCGGGGCCCGTAGCATTTGCTACTCTTGCTATGTGGCTAATCCGGCACTGACTGTCCCACCAAACTCACTGACCACCATCGTTCAACTTGTATAGTTTCCAACGAGGCAAAAATCGGAACCATCCGGTATTGACGGTGGCGCCTCCCTGTCAATGTCACTGATGAGACAGTTCGTTGTAGTAAAGTTCACTCGCCTTCGTGAGAATACACATTTATTTTATTTGGGGGCTAATATAATTCGCTAACATGCATCAATAATAAAATGCATTTTACACAGGACAAAATAATTATGTATGTCGCTCAGAGTTCGCATTGCAATGCATTTGTTTTTTAAAATTCGCAGTTAAGTTCAACTAACCGTCCATTGTTTGGGGATCAGACTGTCGCTCATGAATGATTCGGCCCTCTTGCAGGGCCCTCGACGGTATCAATCCAGCCCTCATTACTTTATCCCCCTCGCGGCGAGCCTGCCACCTGTAATCATTTACAACAGTAACAATAAACCGGTTACCAGTCACTAGGAGTGATTACAAGTTGCGCCCGCGACTTCCCGTTTCTTTTTCAACATTTTTCATTGATGCTGCGCTCCTATTGGTCGTAGCGTGAGCGCATTCTTCTCAGAAGTTCAAAAGATGTGGACTTATACATAAATGTTTACTCAAATTACACCCCCTTTTCTCGTTCACATAATAAACAAATAACATTATTATGTAATAATAAAAAGATGATATTCTACCTGTTTTACTCACCAATAAGCATCATCCTGTGAAACAATATGTAAAACATCACCTTTTCTAAAGTTCAACCCTGCTTCTTTGCAAGGTATGTACGGGTCTTCAGAAGAGTGGTAATTGAATAAAGCGCGCACTCTCACTTTACTTTCTCGGGAGCCACCCTTTCCGAATGACGGGACCAATTTGAATGTTATTGTACCTTCCGAGCTTTGCTAAAATGAGATAATTCACATTGACAAGAATAGTTAAATCATATTTGCCTAGACCAATTTTAATTTTTGAACGCAGGTATAAATAAACAAGATCTTTCGTAATTCCTGAGGCTGGGTTGCATCATCTTACTTTAGCTTTAACTAACGTGAAAAATCTGTCAAACTATACAAAAAACACTCGTTATCGTTATACATAGTTACGGTTAAAGTTAGGTGGTGCAACTCAGCCTAAGACCTAGTAATTTATCCAAAACTTGAAAATTAACCTAGACCAATTAATTCTTACCAAGATAGCTAGTACGTCAGCTGGTGTTTTGTTCTCCACGCTGATGCCATTGACTTCAATGACCTCGTCACCAGCATGGATGAGGCCAGATCTATCCGCAGCCCCTCCGTGCATCACTCGAGCAATTACTATCTTCCCGGTTTCCTCATCAGTTTTTATAGTTGCCCCCTGTGTGCAAAGTGAAAAAACCGGCCAAGTGCGAGTCGGGCTCGCGCACAAAGGGTTCCGTAGCAGCAAATATAATAAACTTATTATGTCAATTTATACACCTGGTGAATGGAGCCTAAACTCTCCCGATATTTTGCCTTGTACTTTTATGTATGAATATTAATTTTATATATGTATTTATAAATATTCCGAGCTAAAGAGGTGGCAAAAGCAATGGCAAACAAACCACAATCAATAGTATTCGGTTGTCGCTGAACACTTGGAAACTGAATACATGACTCCGATAGATACGGAAACAAGGCTTTTACATATATTTTTTGCGATTTTCCTAGAACACCAACAAGACTATCGTACACACGCAGTATTCCATTAATGTAATAAATACAACTCCAGTGCCCCACTAATCCCACGTCACCGTCATAAATTACTTGAAGGTGCGTCTCATTTTTAGGTACAGGTTCAATCAGTTCAGGGTGTTGAAATAATTCTAGCTCACGCGGTCTAAATGATGTGCACCGAAGTAACTTTTCATGAAATGCGCGAACCACATCATCTTCGATATAGTTATTATAATTCAGAATGTAGGAAAACGTATTATCTAAAGTATCCATTGTTAGATGATATACAATAAGCTTTAGAAATTTTAAAAACCTGCTACGAAACACTAAAATTTGCACCAAAAACAAAGGAATTTATATTATTGGGGGATTTATTAGTACGTGACCGGTTTAATAGCACCTATTAAACCAGTATACCTACTTACTTATTTTTTATAATAGGTACAATTCAATATTAAAAAGTCTCAACGCCAAATTCGACTTGCGAAAGAAGTAAATGGGAACGATGAAATTCTCTTAGCGCGCACAAGTGACAACGACGTCTGCCCTCACGTGTCTGCCCGTTCGGGTCGACGCGGTTAGCTATCTTATCCCCGCTCCCGCGCGAGACCACGCCCCGCAACTCACGCGCTGCAGCGCAGCGAGCGACCGATCTTCTTGAATCGATGTAATAATAATCTATAGGATTAACGCGTTTTAAAAATATTGGTTCGATGGATATGTTTAACCTATTATTACTCAACAATCACATTTGTAATATTAAACTTTATCAAATGCACAATGTATTTAAGGTACATTACTGGATAAGGATTAATGGCGTATTGCTTGAATAAGCTAATATTTCTCGTAAAAAGTACCTACATTATAAAGATTTTATATCATCGCGGATTTTAAAAGGTGTACAATACTGTAGTATATTTTTTGATCTATCTTATAAGGTTCAGCCATCGTTTTCAGTGTAAGCACAATAACTTAACCAAAATTACAGTTAAATCAACCTATCTCAAAAACTATAAGAGATACTTTGATCAAACCAAAAATCGTTGAAAGAGTTAATTAGCATGCATCACCTCTATTTTTTTTAGAATTTTATACCCCGTAGTTATAAAAATAGAGGGGGGGGGACATACTTTTTACGACTTTGAGAGCTGATATCTCAAAAACCGTTCACTTTAAGAAAAATGTTTTTTAGAAAACTTTATATCATTTTAAAAGACCTTTCCATTGATACCCCACACGGGTATGTACATCGAAAAAAAAATTTTCATCCCTCAGTTACATGTATGGGGGGCCCCACCCCCAATTCTTTTTTTTACTATTTAGTGTCATAATTTTGTAGCGGTTCATACAACACATATTCCCATCAAATTTCATCACTGTAGTACTTATAGTTTCCGAGTAAATCGGCTGTGACAGACGGACAGACGGACAGACGGACAGACGGACAGACGGACATGACGAAACTATAAGGGTTCCGTTTTTGCCATTTTGGCTACGGAACCCTAAAAATGGCCTTTATTTAATAAAATTGCCTATTTTAGCTAAAGATTAATCCGGCCCTGTTATGGGTATCCTAAGCAAATGTGTAGAGTTAAAACAATAGTAATTCAGTTGTATAACTATAGCTAAAGCCCGGTCTGTGAGCACGTAGAATTTTGTACAATAACCCCTAGCTACCCATCCTTATCGCTCGCGCGTAATTATATTGCTGTCGCGACTGTGCGACTGACACCCGCAGTGAGTGTGCGAGCCCGATAACAACATAATTACGCGCGAGCGATAAGGATGGGTAGCTTGGGGTCATTGGACAAAATTCTACATGCTCACAGACCAGACTATAGTATACAAAGACATATTTTATTTGATAAATCATCTCTAGAAGTAATTTAATCACATCTAGAAATAATTAATCACATCTAGAAATAATTTAATTCAAAAAAATATACGCTGTAGGTATAGGTATGGGACAGTATTGCAAAAAGTAACTTTTATGACATTTTATTTAATGGGACTCTTTGTTTTGCCTCAGAATATAGATGAACTATAGGCCCAATACACTGAACTGTCCCACCCGTGACATTGACAGGGGGCGCCACCGTCAATACCGGATCGCTGGTTCCGATTTTTAACATGTTGGAAACTATATTTTGTGTATAGTTGAACGATGGTGTCGCCCCCCTGACAATGAATTTGGTGGGACAGTTCAGTGTAGATGTAAAGATGACCCGTTGATGAAGATGATATTGTGTTCATCTATATCATACCATCTAACTTTTAATTGCTTACTTACACTGTTTAACTATTTGCTTTAAAGCAAACATCTGGCTAAAGATATAATACCATGTTCACTAAATTACATTCACAATAAAAAGCAATGTGTATTGTGTGATGTGATCTTAAAATAATAAATTTGGATAAAGGACATAAGGCAATGAACACAATACAAATTGCATAAACATCTAGAGATAGCAGCTAGAACATTTGGTCAAAATATAGGTAGATAATGAAAACAACAATGATAAAAAATAACTACATTTGTGAAAGAAAGGCCTTTTTAGATGAAGGGATTGATGAATAAAAAGGTGAGTGTAGGGAATAGATAAAGCCTTTTGAAATAATAGCTATTCGATAACGTTACCACTTACCACTATTGGCTCTGCACTCTGAGCACCACCCTTTTAAAATAAACAGATATTCAATACTAATACTATAATATACTTCATAAATTACTCAAATAGGTAAATCTAATGTAATTGGAATAGGTTCATTAATTACAGTAATTGTTATTTTATTTACATTTTAACTACAAAAATATTATACCTACCATAATAAATAATAATGAATTCAATAAATTATTTATTTTTAATTTACACAAATAAATATATGTACTTACAAATAATAATTAATTAGTTGTTATTAAATTAGTAGTAAAAATAGATTTGATCAAAACAATATGATACCTAGCTGCTATTTCTAAATGAACCAATGCCTGTTGTTCTTATAACTAAAAACAATGTACAGCGTTGATATGTTCAACTAAGTAATGATAAACTAATATTTTATATTTAAATCTATTATTAATTCACATCTATGGTAACACAATAATATTTACGTTGTTTTCAAAAGGCAAGAAAAACATTAATGACATACCAATGGCTCATCACTTTTAACGAGTTGAACTATTTTAACAGTTTCCTCTTCTTCATCAGCATCAGGGGGTATGTCTGGAAGATGTGGGTAGTAATCCTTTTGCGCAACGGCATCATGGGTACATAATATGGCCTGTAAGAGCGCATTAAAAACAAATTATTATAAAACCAATTTTATTGCAACAAAGTAGATCCTAAATAGATATTTAAATAAAAAAATACTGTATCTGTTTATGAATGTATTTTTAAAAATTCGAAATTTTAATAGTATAGTGCCCCTTTTCACCATCAATCCCTAATTTTTAAGTAACCCCTTTCAGAACAAAATTCTTGTTAAGTGTTACCATACTATATGGGTGACTTAAAAATTAGGGATTGATTGTGAAAAGGGGCATAAAGGTACTAACTTGAAAATGTGGTTTTTGTAATAAACCCAGCAACTCTTCATACTCCTTAGAAGAGGCCACCATTTCACCAAGAAGGTCCAACACCTCTAAAGTAACTTGCATAGCATTTGATAGCAATGGGTAAAATTTATCATCTTTCCCTTTTGCAACAATTTTGTTATGCACTTGAACAAGAGCATTCAGTTGTTTGGATTGCAAGAGTTCACTGAGAAAGGCTAAGTCTTCACCTCCAGACTGAACTTCTTTCAGGGAAGCCAAAAGACGAGTAAGAGCTAAAAAATTTAAATTTTCTTGTAAAATTCATCTAAGTGAAAAATAACATAGTAACATTATGTAGTCAGTAGTCCTTTTTACCCGACTGCACCAGAAGAAGGTTATGGTTATTTCGAGTGTATGTATGTATATTTCTTTGGCACGGCCTACAGCCTAAACGGCTTGATCGATTTTAGCGTGAGAGGTGTGGTTAGATTCGTCTTAATCGTGAGAGTGACACTGGCTATATTAAAGTATTAAAAAAATCAAAATCGCGGACTTTAGGCGCCATAATATCTTAAAAAAAATTTTTCTCAAAACCTATCGAGTGGTTTATCAAAATAAAGGGCTTTTAAGTAGCTTACAAAAATGTATGTTATTTAACTAAAAAAAATATTAAAATAAAATTAATATTGAATAAACAAAAAACCCAACTGCATAAAAATCAATCAAAAAAATACAGTGTGTCCGGGCATGTAGTGATCAAACTTTAAGGGCGTAATCTATGGACAATTTTATCGATGAAAATACTTCAAAGAGGCTTGACCCATTTTTCGCAAAATTACAAGGATTTAAGTTTTTAATTTTCTCTTCTTCCTTCAAAAACAAGTGAAAGCGTGAAAGCGTGAGTAACTTAACACGATAGCCAATAAAATTGTCTATTAGTGAAAGTACCAACAAAAGAATGGAGAAGTTTCCAATTTTTTTCTATTAAAACTTGAACAGGGTCCCAAAGTTACGCATAACAAATGTTTCACACCATTTGATTGGTGACGTCACGGCACTCATTCGGAGTACAAACAGTGAATAACCCCTGGTCCAGTGCTGTTGATAGATCAAATTTTTAAAATCTAGTAGTTTTTAATTTTTCAGCAAGGGTCACTCAAGATTCTTTCTTAGTAAAATTATTTTGTAAACTTTTTTTGACATATCCTAAACCTGGCCATATACAAAAAGAAGAAGATTTTGACATATAAAATAGTGTCATTCTAGACAACGCGCAAGTTGAAACTCAGGTTGAAACTAGAACGGGTGGCGTGGCGTGTACTCGGCAAGTGGTTTAGGAAATGGCGCATCGAGGTCAATCCCGATAAAAGCGCCGCCACACTATGGAGCGAAATTGAGATTTATGGACATAGCGATTTTTTTCACAATTTCTATTTGAAAAAAATACCTATCGATAGGTTACGTTATTCTGATGAATAAATGCTGCACAAGTTTTTCTCTAAAACCAATAGTTTGACTGGAAAAAAATATTTTCCATTTTCGTTGTATGGAATGAAACATAAAGTGGTCGATTTTGACTAAGCCTTGACAGATCTTGCTTTGAAACTACTTGAGCCTTGTTCTATGGCTTGTTGACTAAAAAAAAAAAAAAAAAAAATATTTTAAAAATGGTAATGGGAGTTTTTAGTTTTGGTAAAATGTTTTCAACATTACGAAACTTCTCCATTAGTCATTGATGCCTCCAACTGCATTTGTGAACACTAAGGCTGAACTGTCTTGTTTTTATCTTTTCAGTTAATTTTTACGCAATTGGGTTTTATTTAACTAGATATACAATTTTACAGCTGTATTCACAAACATAACTGTGACAGTGCGCGTGGACGCACAGGGTGACACTCATGAACCAATCACAGAGCTCTATTTAACGCTGTGCGTTAGATTTGCTGCTTCACTTAAGCAAGCATTGTTTGGGAATACTGGCGTTATTCACACGATTCTGCCAAGTTCAATAACATATATAAAGATGGATAAGTACTGGAGAGAACAAAATTTGGTGATTCTGTGTGTGTTGATGCAATCTTAGGGTGGATTCGACCAAACAAGAGTAAATATTAATCTCAGAATAAATCATCAGTTTTGACATATTTCCCATATTGAAACTGTCAATGTGCCAGTTGTACCAGGACTTATTCTCGGATAAAAGTTTGGTCGAATCTGGCCTTAGTTTCCTGACAAACTGGGATAGTGCTGATTTAATTTATGTATTCTAATCAGATGTGAAAAAAATTATTTCCATAAAAAAAAATTGATGCTAATTTTCGTTGTGAATTAATTCAAAACTTTTCCAAAAAGTGGCAAACATTTTGTTTGTAAACATACAGGGTGGAAACAATAAGTGATGGTCATTTAAAAACTATAAACAACTGAAAAAAAAAGGAACTGTCTAAGGAGGGAATTGAACCAACGAATTCAAGTTATTTATAATTAAATAAATTATTAGCGATCTCACTTTCTAAACTAGGTAGGTATACAAGATATAGATAAACTGGTTGCTGATCCTGAAAGTGCTTCACGAGCTCTATCAAAACAGTATCAATAATAAGGTTACAGAATAAACTGGATCTATCCAAATTTCCGAAAATTTAATGTTTCTAGCTTTCGTACATTTAGTACAGTCACAGTCATGGTACTTCGACTCTTGATAAATAAATATTTAAGAAGTTAAGCCTAAAACCAAGTTTTCCATAATCTATAATACCTATATAAAAAATTATAGCAAAATGTGTTGGTAAGCGCATAACTCCACCACGCCTGGACCTTTTAAATGTTAGTTGAAGTCCAAGGATGATTTTTACAGCTGGAAAATATTGAATAATTTCCGAGCAAAATGGGATCCACACGTACGAAATCGCGGGCGGCCGCTAGTTTGAAATACGAATGTAATTAACGAGTTTATTTTTAGTTTCATAATTAATTTGTAACACTTCTAATATTGTATGGTTGGCATACATTTAGGAATAGGCGGCTACTCGAAAATACAGGGTAATTGGATGAACGGTGACAAAAATATTCGACTTTCTAACCACCCGGTCTCACAGACATGTTATTGGTCACCAATGGCGGGTATGGATATGGAGATTGGAGTTGATGATAAGTAAGTAGGTAGTTAGGTTACTAATTACAATGTTGCTTCCTATCTACTCGTAATTCTTGAAGTTAACACAACGTAACTTACCTGGGTCCCAGTTGTCAGTCGAAGCTTCCATTTTTACAAGCTTTTTCACTAATTTAGAGAATATCCTTATGTGCCAGTCATAATGTAACAATGTTTACAGAACACTGCAGTTCACCGCTGCTGTGTCAGCATTACGGTATCATTTATTTAGGATAATGGAAGCATAATAAATACTGTAAATTTCGCAGTAATGTACCGATTTTTCAAACATTTTACTGACTGCGGGTCAAACTAGACCATTCGATCAATAAGATGGGTCCAGTTGGAAGTACCACTACAATACAATAGAAATACAAATGAAGAAGCCTTCGCTTCCTAATCCTCTCTTCATCAGGAGATGGATGGAAAACTGCTTCACTCACGAGTTCACGACACCATCACGATTACTTGACTGATGAAGAAGAATTAGATGTCAACGCCATCTCTCGGATGGTTAATATTTGCATAACTTTTGTTAATTAAATTGTACTTAAACAGAATTTCAAAGGTATTTTGTTTTGACCACATACAAATAATTAGTTTATGACCACTAAATTACTTCATTTTCGTCTGTCATTAAATACTTTCAATTTAATGAGAATCTAAGTTCAAAGAATTTACTTTCACACAGTTTCATAGGGTGCGTTGCTATCGCCTAACTTAACGATTTTTACTTCACAGATGTTTGAATCAATACTTTTGGCAGCGTTCCTAAATTTTATATTTTGGAGCTAATGAAATGATCTAAACTGTTTTTGTTTATCACTTTAAAAGGTTTGTCTGTATTTTCTTACTAAACCGATATATAATTTTTGTTTATATTAATCACACAGACTTAACTAGCTATTATTAAAAAATATGACAGAAATTTCACATCAGTCAGCCAGCAACACCAGTACACCACACCTTAAGTTATACCAACCTATTTAGGTACCGAGATTTTATGGCCAGCGGTAACGGAATTAAGCCTAAATGGCCGACAATTTTTGTGATTTTTTATTTAACTAGGTAATCTTAGTTTAAAAATATTAATTATTTATTTGTTTAGCTTCTGATTTGGTTAGTGAATTGGCTATTTCGAAGAATTTACAAGGAGATTTAAATCAGAAGATAGCAATACTACAGTTCACACTAAAAAGAGAGGTAGGGCCGCAGAGAGCGAGATAGATATAAGTAGGTATTTGACTCAAGTTTTGTTCCAAACTCTGCCCTCCATTTTTATCTGTAGCTTCATGGGGCTATCGTTTTTATACTTAAGAGTTGGCACCCCTGGCGATTGACAGGACCTTACTCTACAGTGGCGCTAACTGGTGAGCGCTAAAACGATAGCCCTCATATTACTTTTCTCTATGGCCCTCATTAAGATCAAGATAACGAACAATCAAATAAAATCACATTAGGACTTATGAAACCCGACATTAAACACTAGAATGGTTTTCAAGAAACTTAAACCTTGGTGTAACTCTAAAACTGCCACTCCATAGGGTTTCGTACTTGGCGGAAAAGTTATTTTATGCCAAGGCAGTATAGACTCCCGACCTTAGCCTATTTCAATAGAAACAAGTGAAAGAAAAATAAAATATTTATGCCAACCCACATAAATTACAAAAAGTATATTTTTTCCCTAAATCAAATCCAATTGAGAAATAACTGCACTTTGTAAACAGGTAAATATATTTTCTATGCGACTGAATTATATAAAACAACACAATATCGATACCTCTAAAAACAGGAGTGAGATACAGTGTACGATCAATACTTTCCATTCTACACTCCTCTACACATTTATCCGGGTAAGTAAAACAAATGAAGTCGGATTAATGAAAACTTCAGATAATTTGAGAGTTCGAAATCCGAGGTAGTTAAGGTCCACCCTCTGACCGGTGTTTCTTACATATTTGCTAAGTAGAAAGCAGTACAGTGGTTAACATAGACCTATTGATTTTTGTGCGTATTTTATTGTGTGTGATCCAAGTGAAGACTTTTTGGTAAGAATTTAATCAATCTTCATTATAATTCATCAGTTTGAGAAGTCTATTTCTTCCTACAAGATTTCTTATACATATTTTCATCCAAATTCTTTATAATCCAACTACCTAATAATAATTAATTATTGCAGAAGCATTCTTTTCTTATTCTAATAAGAAAATGAAATATTAAATATCACTTGTAAAGATGGTATGGAAAATCCATTGATTTCTTCTAAGATTTCCTTGGATGCTCACAGTTTATAACTTGGATTATTCAGTAGGCCAACATCTTAGACAAGTGCAAAAAATCAGAACTAAGGGTAGTTCGTTTTCATGTACTTTTTTCTTAAGTGATATAAAGCTGAACATTTTTTTATTTAGATTAAAAAGTTTGAGACTTGAGAATCTTGAATGCAGCTTTTAACACTTAAAATCTTCACTAATATAATATTATAATTCCGAAGAATTGGTTTGTTCCTTTGCATGTGCTAATCTCAGGAACTACTGTTAGGCTGGTTTTAGAGTCGCGCTGACCGCTCCCTGATTTTCAGCGGTGACAGATCAATGTGTATGTAATTGAAGGGAACGTTCCTGAGTGACGCTGATCGCTCGGCGCCGACGCTTCATACATTTGGGCTGTCAGCACTGACGGTCAGCGTGCGTCAGCTTGACTCTAAAACCAGCCTTACGATTTGAAAAAATATTTTTGAGTTGGATAGCCCAATAATTGAGAAAGGTTTTAAGGCTATATAACATCACCCTACAGCCAATAGGGGTGGAGCAGTAAAGATAAATGTAAATACATGCATATAAAGTCACGGGCACTGCTAGTCACAAATAAAATATTAAAGCAAGTAAACTGTACTATTTGTATTGATGATGTCATACATAATATGTCATCCCACATTACCATCCATGCACTGTTACTATCAAACACCTATTGTTTGTGAATTTGTGATTTGCATTTATAATTCTGTTAATGTTCTTTATATGCGAGTATAGATTTAAATCTGTGATTGTACCTACTGATACATAAATTATGTTAATGTCAATCCAAAAATTTCAAAAACATTTCAAATAGCTTTTATGTTGCAGATGGCTAAGGCCATTGAAGTAATATTACTACGTAGTACATTATAACTCAATGGCTAAGGCCTATTTAGTTTGTGACAGATTGTCATAAATGATAGCCTATATGTTATTCTGGGTTATAAACAATAATACTGTAAAGTTTCATCAAAATCTGTTCAGTAGTTTTTGCGCGAAAGAGTAACAAACATATTGTTTCAAACAATTTCGCATTTACAGGGTGTTAGGTAAATGGGTATATGAGCCGACACTAGCCCATGTTAACATGAGCATATAAATGGTAAGGTGAACTTGCAAAAATGCAATTTGCAATATTTGTCCAACGTGGTTGTGTTTTATAGCCATAAAAGTTGGCTCAAGTGTAACTACCTATTTTTTCAAGAAGTGGCTCTGGATCCTTCTAAAGACACATATTTGGGGTAAAAACCTTTCCTTTAATGAAATGAAGTTTAGAACTAGGCTTTTAAATGGTGCCAATATTGGTGGGAAGTGGGGATGCATTTGAAAGTGCCTGTCGCGGGAGGTGCGATTTATTTGATGTCGAGTGTAGATGGCATTATAAAAACCCAATATTCGACCCATGAAAACTCGACCCAGTATTCCTAGCTCAACCCATTACATAATTTCGTTATTCTACCCAAATGCATTCCTTAATCAACCCAAAGTATATATACCAAAAATAAGTATGGATAGCAAAACCACGTTTACTGTTTTTTCAGAAATTTAATAATGATAAATACATACTAGTATGTTCATTTATTTATAATTAAATAAAAAAAATAAAATAACATCACCTACCTACAGGAGTATGTTTATTAACTAACTAAAAAATATTATTTTTATTCTGACCGTACATAAAAATCTTATATTTTTTAAGTGGTTTTAAAATGGGTTGAGCTAGGAATGTTTTTGGGGTGAATAAGTAATTTAAATTTTAAAATTTGTTGTGGGTAGAATAAGGAACAAAATTGGTTGAGTAAGGAAAAAATAACGAATGGGTTGAGTTGTCGTGGGTCGAATAACCAATTATAAAGGTAAATCAGGCTGTTATGCCTTTACATATTACACTTCTGGACACATCTACTGGCCCACCTTAGAGTTTAGGTTTCGATGGCCCCTACCGAAATATGATTGCTAGATTGAACAAAAACTGTTGATGCAGTTTTAAACCTGATACATTTTATCTACCATCTTTTTCGATCGTATTGTTTTTTTGAATTCAGAATACCATAGGTACGACATGGAGCTACGCCTAACAAGTCGGAAATGCGCCTTGTTAAAGGCAATTGATTTTTGAATAAAAAACATGTTTTATCAAATAAAGGTTTAATTTAATAACGCGTGTTGCCTCCATGGGCATCTACCACAGCTCTCATACGATTAGGCATAGAGTTTATCAACTGCTCTATGAAATTTTGAGGGATCATCTCCCATTCCGCTTCTATGGCAGTTTTCAACTCCTGCATCGTCTGGGCAACTGGCTGACGAGCCCTAACACGTCTTTTTAGCTCGTCCCACATGTGCTCAATGGGGTTCATGTCTGGGCTTCTGGCTGGCCAGTCCATAACTGTGATGTTCACATCCCGAAAATATTCCCTGACGATGCCGGCCGCATGGGCTCTTGCATTATCATGCATAAAAAGGAAATTTGGGCCCACATAGTCTGCGTATGGTATCACGTGAGGTTCTAAGCACTCACGAATGTATCTTTCAGCGTTTAATATTGGCAGCCGTGGTCCTGTAACAACCTCAAGTTGAGTTTTGCCGCTCGCGGATATACCGCCCCAGACAGTCCATGAGCCACCGCCATAAGCAACCCTCTCTTCAAAGCAGCATTGTGCGAAACGCTCTCCCTTACGTCGGTAGACCTTCTTCCTTCCATCATTGCCATGTAACACAATTTTAGACTCATCAGAAAAGAGTACACGGCTCCAATCTTGCTGTGTCTAATTTAAATGACTACGTGCGAAATGAAGGTGCGCTGTTCGGTGGGCTCGCGTTAGTTTGGGCCCATTAGCTGGCTTGTGTGGTACCATATCGCGTTCTTTTAACCTTCTCCGAACAGTTCGAGCGCTCACAGATACTCCGTGGAAGTCGCGAAGTTGGTTTTGTATCTCAATGGAGGTAAGGTGACGATTTCTCAAGCTGGTAGTCACGATGAATCGATCCTGCCTTTCAGTTGTGACCCGAGATCGTGGCCTTCCTTGGCGACGAACAAAGCCGCCAGTCTCTAGGTACCTCCGATAAACATTTCGGACCGCAGATCGACTTAAATTAAGTTGAGCACTCACGTTTCTTTGGCTGTGTCCGGCCTGAATAAGTGCCACAGCTTGGGCGGCGATTTCAGGTGAAGTATCCATAGATTATTGATAGAACCTCACCTTAATGTTAAGAATAAGTAATGTTTGTTGCAAAACCAAAGATATCAATCACTTTTTCAAGAATTAAATCCAAACCAATAAAACCAAGAAGTTTTCTTAGGGCTATATTTCACCGGGACACCATGGCGGCGCAACCAGTCGCCGCTACCAACGAAATGTATGCAGCTTTGCGCAACCAAACGGACACCAGGTGAGTAACTGTCTATAGAGCTGTATACATTTTGTTGGTAGCCGGCGACTGGTTGCGCCGCCCGGTACGCCCAGCATGGTGTCCCGGTGTAATATAGCCCTTAGTATTCGATTGTTTGATATCCACAAATAGGCTCCAAATTGTCTTTTGTTTCTTTAAATTCTGTGTTCGAATTTCAAAAAGACTATTGAATGAAATTATGAATAAATTGTGAATGTGCCAGGTTCAAAACTGCATAAAAACTTTTTGCTCGACCTAATATAAAATTTTAGCTAGGACCAAACGAATCTGAAAATACAAGGTGGGCCAATAGATGTGTCCAGAAGTGTATAATGCTATACAAAAAAAAAAACAATTTAAACTGCCTACATCCGAAACTTTTGAATCGGTTCCGGTTACGGTTTCGGATATATTTTTATTTCGGATATCAGAAAGTTTCGGTTACGGTTACGGATATCCATAACAACCCTGGGAGATACCTACGCAATTGGACGGCTTTATCCCTGTGATAAAATAGCATTAAATTCCAAACAGGGACCAACTAGGTACAATATTTTTTGCGCACAATTCCAGTGTGAAGATATACCATAGATAGTACCATATTACGTATTACGTAGGTACTAGGTACCAAATCATACAAGCAACCATGTTGTAACAATTTTCAACTGGTAAAAAAACTTTCATCAACGTGCCCTATCATTTGATGGTCTGATGGATTTGTCTACCTATGCCGATACTGTTTTTCGTAGTAAGTTTTATGTGTGTTAAAACTTGTTTATTTTTTGCTTGTCAGATGTAAGAAATGCTTAATGCCGGGCGCTGACTCGAGGTTTAAGCCGCCATCGGCAAATGAATCCTTGGCCTCGGATGAAGAAGCGTCTCAGTTGGAACTTCACCTTCAGAGACAACTGGAAGAAGATGTCGCAAGGTAAGGAATTTGTCACAATGTCTCACTAAGCTCTCTAACCTACTAATTTTATCTATAACCCATTCGTAACACAAGAATATTATCATATTATCTGTTTCAGAATATTTGATGAATCCATTTATACTGATCTTGAAGTGGTGTGTGGTAAACTAAAAATATTAACTCATTCATGTATATTACAAGCTCGCACAAATAAATTTTATCATATACTTCAGACGATATTGCATGTTAACATCGGGCGCAGTGCTTTTGATGAAATATATTCGTTTATCAGGTAAGGCTGGCGATATTGATTTTGAAAGAATATTTATATCTATTTATTTAACAGAATATAAAATAATATAGGTACATGGAATGTGTGGTGGGCTGTAGAAAATACATTCTTCCGATTGTATACAGTATAATTAGAACTAGACCCGTCGCGCCATAGCAAATTCCCATGTAGAGGAAGTCGTTTGTGAATTATTGGACCTTATATATTTTTAGCCGACCCCTTAACGCTTAGGAGTTGGAGAATAATTATTTTAATATTTTAGGTATGTATGTACCAACAGTTGTATTATTTTAGGTTATTAAGGTGAGCTGATGATGGAAGGTTAAACTTCGTAGGTTATGAGTTAAATGATACTTTTTTTGTTGCCGATATTTAAAGTAGTAGCCTGTATTTGTAGGGAAGATTATTTACGTTTAAAATGGAAAAGTATTAGTCTCATTTTACATAGGTACTGTCCATCTCTAGCGACAACAACAAGAACTAATATACTAAAAAGCACGAAATAAATAAATTTTATAAAAAAAAAAAATTTTTAGTACGGTTAAAAAAGTGACGAACTAAGGAACGAATAGAATACATTAAACATCGTAGTTTTGTTCTTAATCTCAGGTTGAATTTGACTGCAATTTTTTTTTGTAATAAATATTTTATTTATGTAAACATAGCTCCCAAAACACAACTGTTTAGTTAGGTAAAGTAAGTTCCAATAATTCGCAAAAGACATGGGAACTACATCAGAATTTGCTAGGGCCGGTCTAGTTCCTTCCAGTCACCCTGTATAATATTGTGCAATTTGTTTTTCTTATAGGTATTAATTTAATTTAACAGACTGTAGCTTCCTTGTACAAATCTAATAATTTTAGACTAAAACTTTTAGAAGTAATCATAACTTAGGAGGAATCATTCTACAGAGTGTTTGGTAGTGTTGATAATGAATAAAACGGCTGAATTTGACTGACCGTCATTTACAGTCAAATTGGTCAATAACTAGTAATTTTCGGTCAATTTGATTTTCATAATACTTTTGGTACTTTTTTAAAGTATTTTCTTTTATTTTGTGATTGATAAAAGTCTACTTCTTAATTGAAGTACAATAGTGGTTTTATTATTATAGTACGAGAGCCCCTAACCTAACCTAACCAAAACCATGTCTCATAGCAATACGGCAAAAACCCTATAAAATCGTTAGATTGTATTATTCTGAACCCAACTAGGTGTGTAGTAACGGTCGAAAGTGTAGCAACTGCGTGGGAGGCCATTTCTGCTGTGTCAAAAAAAAAAGACAGTCGGTATTATAGCAATACGTCTGATAGTGAAAATGTACATAGATTTTATAATTGTATTAGATATAATTGTATTACATAGATTTTATTATGTAGCATATAGCCTGAGCGCATTTTTGAAAATGTCAACAAATTTAGCCGACCTGTATCATAGCAATACGGATAAATATTTTTTTCAACTTTTCGTATTGCTGCCATGATTACCAAAAACCTGTTTTCAGACACTTTAAGTGTATCAAAAAGTTGTATGATAGAGAAGGTGCTACACTTAATTTGTCTGATATAATTTTTTTGCACATGTGGACAACTTATTTTATCATGTCCAACAATTTTCAGACATATTGCTATGATACCGATCGGTAAAATTTGTTAACATTTTCAAAACGGTCTCAAAATTTAATGCGTTCACATTTCCGTCTGAAAATTGTTTTGTTCGCATCAAATAACCAAAATTTACTAATAAAAAAGATTTTCAGACGTATTGCTATGAGACATTTTTTTTGTCTCATTTTTAATTTTTTTAAGTGATTTTACGGGTTTGCGCTACACCACTAACGTCTGATTTTTGTCTCATTTTTAATTTTTTCAAGTGATTTTACGGGTTTGCGCTACACCACTAACGTCTGAAAAATATGTTTCCGGTATCTCAGAACTATCATTCAACTACAGTCTGCAAATCAGACATATTGCTATGATGCAGTTCGGTAAAATTCTTTGACAATTTTGAAAATTCGGTCAGATCAAACGCTACGCGGAAAATGTCTGATATTGGTATTTTGGAGTTCAGGATAATCGTATCTATCGATTTGATGCTGTTTTGGCCGTATTGCTATGAGACAAAAATTTTGGTCGTGGGCTCTCGTACTATTAGGGTCGAATGGGCGAGTTTTTATTCTCAAAATGACCTTGCCTATACACCCACGAACTTGGTCTAACCTTCTACCAAACACCCTGTATATTCAAAATTCGTTCAATTGAGAAATTATGTATTAATTTATGATTTATGACTATTGACTTCATGTTTTTCCTAAAAACTAAAATAATCTATTATAATAAAATCGCTAAGTCCATAAAAGAAAGTCATTTCGATCCTCCAACTAATCTATTTTTGAAAACTTGGACATTACTAATTCAAGTATTGACGATATATCACATTTGTTTACTTTCTTTTTCTATTTCAGTGATACCTACACTGAATGCAATATAAAACATCAAGAAAAAGAGATACTGGCCTATTTAAAAACATTATCACTAAACACAAAAGAAGCAGTAGAAGAGCCTGAAGAGTTTTTGACACCCAAGTGCATAAGCCCCTATGTAGAGAAAGCTTTGAAGAAAAGTATTAGTTCTAGCCCTAGTACTGAACTTACAAAAGAATATTACGCTCTAGTGCCAATAGAAGGCAACTTATTAGATAAAGAACTCATAGAACAGGACGTTCTTTCTAATGCTTTTCAATCTATTATAAGTTCGCAAATCGGAGATTTAGATAAGGTCAAAGGTTTTCAACGTAATAAACCGACTTCGTTGGCTCTGATTTCTAGTCATTCATCCAAATCAGTGAAACATTCCAACAGTTGTGATATTTTAATTAAAAGTCATCTTAAAGATGAAAGTTCATGCGGAACCTTTACAAACATAGAAACAAAATCATTAGATATTGCTGCTGGTCAGTTTACTAAAACAAATCAAGATATCGAATCAAATAAAACGTCTGATATTGTATGTAAAAACACGAAGTTGATTGACCCGCTTTTGGACAAATCTACAGATCCGGCTTATTCCCCTGACAGTTTAATAGCGGACGATCCTAGTTCTTCTTCTGACTATCTGTCTGCAGCTTATACTTTTTCACCTGGTATAAGTTCCGTTTTCCCCCAGCATTTAAATGTTGGAATCAACATCACTAAAATGGAAAACATTTTTACGTCATCGGACTCTGGCTTGGAGAACACAGGTTTGTTGGAAAGTCTTACCAGTCATAAAGATATAACTGTGACAGATATGTCGCTAACTGAAAGTACCCTACATGACTTAACCACTGACGATGGTAGTAATTCCCACGATTCAGTGTCAAGTCCACTAGTTGACAAGAAAATTTCTACAGCATTAAATATTGAAGTTTCCCTAAACTCTGCTTCATGTACATCAGAAAATAATACATCAGAAGACCAGTCCACAAGACCAAAAGAAATGACCTGTAATTCCTCAAAAGAAGAAAAAGAAAAACAAAATGAGGAGATTGTTATTCTTGAGTCTTCATCTTTGTCTTCAGAAACAGGTTCATGGGAATCTGTGTATCCTCCGAGATTAACTGCAACAGATATGTGTGAAAAGTTCATTCACAATGAGCGTCGAAATTTTAATGAAGTAGAACCTAAAGTTTCCTCGAAAAAAGCAGACTGTGATGATTTCTCTCACACGAGTCAAAGCCTTGTTCAGAAATCGCCATTCAAATCATCATCATGTTTTATTGATGCTGCAAGTTTAGTCGATGAAGAAGAACATACAATTAAAATAATTTCCGATACCAATGATATCTCAGAAATCATAGCTTCAGATGTTCCAATACCTATGCCAAGTAAACCTGTACCTTGTTCAACAAATAAAGTAGATATAAGTCCTAGTGATTGGTCAGAAAATGATAACGAAGACTCCTTAGAACAATTGGATAACAAGGACCCCGATTCAATACAAAAAGACCTATCTCCAACAATTTTTGAAATGACACCTATCACCGAAGATTCTTTATGTACTAATGTATTTGAACCAGGGCAAAATAAAGAATCTGAAGAAATGAAAGAAACTGCTATTAAAGAAGATTTATCGAACATTAACTCTGGAAAGGATGATTCAATATCCATAAGCACGCCCTTAATGACTACACCTTATAACTCGATAATGTCACTTAAAGTTTCTGGTCTTAAGCAATATGAATCTGAAGAAAGCGAAAGTGACACAACTATAGTAGGTCAAAATTTAACTAACATCTTGAAAAAATACAATGAATCATCACCAATTATATCAGGTGGAGCTTCTGTAGAAGATCATTTACCTAATATCAGTAGCAATTCAGGAAGCCCGTTGATACGTACGTATAAAAAAATAGAAAATATACCGATAGTTTCAGGAGCCTATGTCCCCCCTCTAGAAGCAGAAGTAAGCAAGTCACCGCGTCCATCTTGTGCCCCTACATGGGTAGTCGATATGTCTACCTCCTCTAAGTCAGACGTCGATACAGTTCACTCAAAAAAACCCAGTGATAAAATGTGCGATAGCCTGAGATCCTCTTCTAAAAACAGTTCAGAAAATTGCAATAAGAGCAGAAATTCAGTGGATTCTGACAGCAGTGAGAAGTCAAGCCATAAATTTTATATCGATTTATCAAGTTTACCCGATCCTATACCGCCTAAAACTCAAAATGAACCAGAAACAGCAAATGAAAAGAAAAATATTTTTTCAATGTATATTGATTTTGGAGAAAAATCTGCGTTGAAGGAAGCACCCCATAGATTAACTTCTTTAAATAACAAGAAGAGCGAAGCAAAAATCACTCCAAAAAACAATAAAAATAAGATGGTATATACTCCTATTTCAGTTTGCTCTAAATTATCTGACCCAAACAGCACATCGACTTTTGAAAAATATGAGGTTTTATGTGAAGATTCCAACATCAGTATATCAGAAATCATCAACCTAAATGAGGGAAATCGGAGAGATACCAAATCAAAAGAACTCAAGAATTCAGAGTCAAGTAAGGACCCCCGAGCAGAAGAGAAAAATCACCGACCCGAAGTGAAAAATCACAGTGATAGATCTTTCCAACGGAATTCGAGAACAACAATTCACGAAGAATCACTCAAAGCGAGGATTACTATATTTGACGAAACATTTTATGAGCTAGAGGATGAATCATTTGTGAAGTTGTCGGATTTAGACAAACCTATTCTGAAAGCGGATCCTCCTGTAATTAAAAAACCCGACAAGGTTGTAGATGAGCGAATGACCAGGTCAATACCTGATAACAGTTGGCGCGAGCAGCAAAATCAAGGTTGTACATCTAGATCTAATGAGATTATAAGTTCCTTTCATTCGGAAAATGCACTTAGCTTAAATAGGTTGTTTCCGCACCTAAGGACAGAGTTCAGTAGAAGCATGCCCGGGTCTTTGTCGAGCAGGACACGGTCTCCTTTAAGATTAGGAGTCGAGCAGAGTCCCGGGGACTTAGACGATCAAACTTCAGATACATCGGAAATGAGCAGTGTGCAAAGTAGTTTTTGCCGATCTATCGTTGGTAAGTAATAGTTCAATTCTTGAAAAGCATTAAAATCAAACGGCAGGCAATTCCTTCCGATGATTTATAGGGAATTAAGGATGATGTATGTTTCAAGTACTGCCATTTAATTTGATATGGATAATAGCTACCATCAACCAAAACAGTTCATTGTAGCCCTGAAAACCGATTCAGTTTTCAATTGGTTGTAAAATTAGATTTTTACTAACTTGAAATCAATTAATTGTGATTATTGTGAATCAATCGAGTTCGCGACCTGATGATAGGTAATTGCCATACAAAAAAATCTATTGGGAGAGTCGCGTTTTGAGAACTTGAGTATATCAATAACTATCCTTTATTTTTCTATAATTAATAAATCATTTAATTTTCGACGTCTATCTGACAATGAAAAAAAAAACATTAAATCATCTCTTATCCCGCATAAATTGCCCCGTCTGGTTATTCTTTATGTTAACTACAAATGGCAGTAGATTAAAGTTAAACTTTTCTAAGGGCTCACGCTAAGGTTCGGTTTCCACCAAGGTGGAGCGGAGCGGAGAAATGTTTTGAATAACCAATCAGATTTCATTATGTCAATTTCATTTAATGTGAATGACAACTGATTGGTTGTTCAAAACATTTATCTGCCAGACATTTATCTGTATAGGCGTTTTTGTCGCGCGTCTGTAGCGCTTCTAACTCGCACTGCAGTAGTGCGACAAAAACGCCTATATGCGAAAGCGCTTTTAGCGTAGGCCCTTAATCAACCAGACCATAGAATGGCCTTTATTGCTTATTAGTACTTTGTCTAGTCACCCCACAGTACAAAATCAACTCGATACAACTATGGTTACTTTTTTTTAGAAAACAGTACGACTGAAGAAACCAGCCAAGCCTCAAGTCTGATAGGCAATTGTCAATCCCGCTTGGGGCAAGACCTTCTGCGAATGTTTTTGGAAGAAATAGCTCCCGACGTGATCGTGGAGGTGTCAGGGAGACGAATTAAAGCACACAAATGTATTTTATCATCAAGGTGAGTTAGCATCTTTCTCTTTGTTAATGAATAATTTATATGTATAATCTTTAATTCAGTCATTTAGTTCAAAGTTCGCTCGTAACGTATTGTTGTTATATCAAGGGTGCTTTTAAACTTTTTCTCGTCAGATATTATTAAAACTTTAATTATTTGTTCTTTGGTTTAGGTGCCAGTACTTCGCTGGGATACTAAGCGGTGGCTGGGTTGAGAGTGCGGGGAATGTTATAGCATTGCCACCGTGAGTATAATACTTATATTATATTCTTCTATCATTCTTGTGGGTTTCAATAACTAAAGAATATCCCTTTATCGCTAGAAACAAAAGGCGAATTTTTTTTTATATCACTAAAATAACATAATCCCGAAATAAGTCAATAATAATAATAAACTTCAACGGCAAAAAACTAAGGCTGGGTTGCACCATCTTACTTCAACCACAGAATAATAATAAGTACTACGTACCGAAGTTTTACTTCGCGAAGGTATTTAAAAAAATGTATGCTCAATGTCATTAACAATATGGTGTAATTTAGCTTGTCTCAAGAGTCAAGCAAGTTTGTCAGAAGTTTTGTTGACAAACGTCAGTGATCGGTACTGCGCCGAAGCTATAGGGCTGACTTCGGTAAAATGATGTGACGTGAGGTGCCAATCTGGAGAAAATGGCGGAGGAAATACATGATTTAGCATGAATTATCATGAATAATATTAACTACTTATTTACCTCTCAGTGTCTTCAGGCAACTAAAAAAAGTACATTCTGTGTTTTTATTATTATTTAGGCAGTTAAATACTGCACAGTATTTAGTACACCATTTTCTTTATTTTTTTCCATCATACACAAGAATACGCGTGCGTGAGTCAATGTTCGCTCGTATGTGAGGCCTTGTCGAATAGTACTCTTGTAGGGGGAAATCGTGCGTGTTTTGTTTTCGATGTAAACTCGCGGAGATGAACAGGCCTGCTTCAACTTTGACCAACGTCAATAATCTGTCAAACTCCATAAAAAACACCGGTTATTCTTAAAGTCACGGTCAAAGTTAGGTGGTGCAACTCGGCCTAAGAAACTTCTGTAATTCCAATATATTTTTTGTTACAGATTTTCATTTAACGTTGTCCACTTCGCTCTCTGTCATATATACTCAGGCGTTTCTACAATACCTGATTCGATAAGTATTGTGGAGCTTGCGACATTGGCTGATATGCTGGGCTTGGAAGGCTTGAAGGAAGCTATCATGTTTACATTAAAAGCTAAATATTGTCATCATTTCCACAAAGTAAGAGAAATATTTGGCACGATAACGAGACATGTGCAGTGTTGGCAAAAGTTAATCTGATTATTGATTAATAATTAATTTATATAATGATTAAAGATTAATAATTAAAAAAACATTGATTATGATCTAATCATAATGAATATAGGAACTACATTATATTTACTGGCTTAAAAACTAGGATTATGGTCTCTAAGTGCGGAATCATAAATTAATTAATCATTACTTTGTATGGATTTTGGACTGATTGGTAAAATTTTAAATTAACGAAACCACTTTTGACTGGAAAACGGTCAAGTGATACGTATTGACCAAGTCATTTTTGCAGTCAATAGTAGTTCTGACCGATTATATTATGAGTTTTGACATTTACATTGATTTCAATAGATTAAAATGTTCTATTAAAAGAAAGAAGTTAATCAAACTAACGGTTATTGATTAAAGACAACATGATTATGATTACTTTTTTAATCTTGATTATTTTATTCACGATTAATTTAATCATAATTAAATTATCATTATGTAATGAATTGATGTATTATTGTTTATATTTTAAATATTTTTCTTTTTTATTTAGGTTAAGTTTATTTAGAAATGTATGGAGTTGGAGTATGGCTAATATTTTAGACATAAGGTACTTAATTTGCTTCATTAATTGATCAAAAATTTAATTTATTAGTGCCAACACTGTCATGTTGCCAAATTTTTGTTTTGGTGTTTCAAAGATAGACGTAATGTATTTATGATGTAATAGAAACGTTCGTTCGTTCGTTTCTGCCAAATGACGTCCACTGCTGGACAAAGGCCTCCCCCAAGGTTTTCCACAATGAACGGTCCTGCGCTGCCCGCATCGAGGTTCTTCCCGCGACCTTAGATCGTTGGTCCACCTAGTAATAGAAACGTTGGTAAAAAAATTGCTTCGACAGCAGAAAAACTCTCCCGAGATAATTATCACTCTTTGAGAAAATCACATTAATTCACTTCCTTAGAACGCTCCATACAAAACGTCACACCGTGGTACTTTGTAAGGATCGCCTAAGGAATTTGTTCTGCGGCTTCTTTAAGTCTGTTATGGTTTTCAGCCCTGTGCGGTATGCAAAGCTGGAGTGCTGGAATGTTTCCCCCTGTGCTCAGTCTATGGCCTGGACGATTTGTACAGAAAATGCTTGAAATGGATTATAAAGTATTTTCCTTGGGTGTGGCCTACTAAAGCTTTTGCCACACTGCCTTCCGAATTATTAGAGAAATGTTACCAAGAGATTGTTATCAATATGACGCTTGAGAATATTATCAATACAGTTTACGGATGCGGCCTTACAGGTATTAGATTGAATATTTTAATTATTTTCCACATAGAGCCAACAAATACTTTAATTTTATCGTTCCCTTTTCAGTTGAAGACTTGCATCATATTCGATGGGGCGACATTGTAGCACGTATATGCCGCCGATTGGTGCACGCTGCGGCACACTTTATCGCGCCTAAACTTGTGACAGTTCTGCGCGAAATCGGTACGTTGCCGCCCGACCCGCCGGCGTCCGCTAAACAGGCGCTCGACGAATGCATGGCCGCGGCCATAGAATGGGCGCCGCCGGACGAATGCTGCCGCGCCTACGCACTCCTGGCCGGCGTCGCCAGGGAAATACGAAACCACCGATTCGCCAAGCCCGATCTGATCACCAACGGCAACCCGAACAACGTGCCCGGTCAAGACAACCTTCTGTACGTCAGCGCCGGCAGCTGGGTGCAGCAGTGCGAGGGCGCGCTGGTGCGGGCGGCGCCGCGCGTGTGCTGCACGCAGGCCTTCGCCGAGCTGCCGCCGGAGCTGCGCGCGCGCCTGCGCGAGCTGGGCTGCATCATGTACGGCCAGCCGCAGCTGCCCGGCCGAACCCTCGCCCTCCAGCACCGCAGAAGCAAGAACGCTCACCCCAAACCGAACAAAACCCAACCATCCACGTCCAGGAACTTAGATATAGACCACATGCGAGCTTCCTTTGTTCCATATGCTCCCAAGCCGGCGACCCTCGTCGCCCCGGGCGTGTTCAAAAGTAGCAGCAATGATTTACAAGATACAAAAAAGATGTCTCGCGCTGCACCTCCTAAAGTCAGGACCACCAAAGCGCAAGAGGAACGCGCGAAGTTTAATTTGTCCAAGGCGAACCCGTCCCAGGAGCGGCTGAATGCCAAGGTGAACGCAGCGAAGCCATCGTTTGAACACACCAAGCCCAGATATCTGGAACCTAAAATTATGCCAGAAATGAAAAAAAATGTTAGTACCAAGAAATTGGTCCCTAAAATGATATCGTCTAGTGAATCTTCTCGGAACTCAAGTCCCATTCAAGCGAGAAACTTGAGGACGAGTCGCATGAAAAATCGGCAGGCAAACGAGGGGAAGACGCAAGCTTTGTCGCAGGACAGCCTGGCCACGTGCTCGCGGCCGCGCACTGCTGAGCCGTCGACGGACTCGCTCAGTGAATCGCAGACCAGTAACAAATATGCCACCTATACCAAGGTGCGGCATACCACCAAGGGATCCATTGAATGTAAGTTGCACTTCATTAATACCATTTTAGGTTTATGATTAAGTTTCCCATTACATCACTAATATTCATAATACTTTTTAATTTATTGTTGCAGCTGCTGCAGTGAAATGCACTCGACACGCTACCGCCCCCAACCCATCGGCAGTGACAAATGGTAAAGTAAAGACAAAAATACCCGTTTATTTAAACTCTTTGTCCAAGTCGTACAACACAGATAACAAGAGCAGTTGTGACGTGCCGTCGCCGCAAAGTAAATCGTTCCCCGCCCCTAAAACATCGACGGCTACACATTCCACTGCATCGGTGCCGATGCGTAGCAAGAACTACGAGAAGAATTCTTCGTGCTCTTTGATGAATGCAACAAAATCTAGCTCTGCCAAAATGGTGACGAAAATAATCAAAGAATCTCCCCGCTCTAAAACGGTTACAAAAAATGTCAAAGGCAATTCCAACTCTCGCCGTCCTCAACGCAGAGCAGAAACCGATCCACAGATGGAAATTCCTGTGATGGAACGCTCTGGTACTTTTCTTAAAGACGAGCCAACTTTCGGCGATAAAACAACTAACATAGATTTAGATGAATAGACTGCTCGCGTGGGCAGTATTGTTTTACAAGCTTTAGCGGGAGCCAGGAAATAGCTGCGCCGTGACGAGATCTCACCGCGGATCCCGTTGAAGCGTTAGTAGCTAAAACCTTTCAGATCATACAGACTACAAATCTTCCAATCAGCAACAAGAATGTTAACGAGTTACGTAATTAAAATAACATTAAATTCTGTTGTAAAGGCCTTTATCAGTCTTTCTAATTATGTTATTTAAATGTTTGTACTAAAATAAGTGAAAAGACTGGTAAAGACTAAAGATTAACCCCCAGTTTCTGCACCGAGATATTTAGCTTGAGTGTGCTCATCTTTTACTTAAGTATGAAATTAAGCTTTTAAATTCATACTGAAGCCTATAAGTAAAAAATAAGCACACTCAAGTTAAAAATCTCATTTCAGATACCGGGGAACTAGTGCTCGTCTTTTGTTACATTTTACGTTCAATTTAATTCGGTATTGTGAACTATGTGTTACAAACATCTTTATTATGAGCAGAATATCAAAAAGCATAATATTAAAACCTTTACACCTAACTCCTACAATAATAACATTTAATTATAGATTTACATCTTAGTGCTTCCAATTTTTAATACCGTATGAACAATAATTTATATCTTGACGGCTGATTGGGGTGATCTAAGCCAAGCTCTCTGCTTGTGAGGTGTCTTTTTTCAGCTCTACCTCATTATCACTCGTAGATTTTTAATGTGTGGACTGTTTTAATTCTGGGCTAGATCGGGTAGTCTGTCCACACATAACTCGAGGCAGAGTAGTCTGGTCTGTACTCTAGGCGATTATGTAGATTCTACCTATCTGTGAGCTAAAATAATGACTTACCGCTAGCTATGTGGTGAAGGTAGTGTTTGAGTGTGTATACTAATATTACGCGTAATATATTTTTTTATTGTAATATTAGTGTAGATAAATTACGCAGGTGACAATGAAGTAATGATGTGATATATTTTGTTGGGTTGCCCAGTAAATTAATTTCCCGTTATGGCCCTATTAATGAATCCGATGAATTGATACTTAATAATTAAAATGTATTGAAATAGTAGTATCTTACTAATATTATAAGTGTGTTTTGTATGGATCTCTGGAATTTACAGTATTATTATTTACCTATACATCAAAATAACATTTATAACAATCTGTGAAAATCTAAATACGCGAAGCGGTGGCAAAATCTAATTAACTACATAAATTATTAAATAGCTTATTACGATTTTTTTACATGTGAACTAATTTGGAATGAGCATTGTAAGGGTCACCTGTGTAGGGATTGTATTTTTATCACGCATTTTTATGCTTGATGTTTCTATATAGGTAACTACATATAGATTGATAAATGCATGTCTATGTTATCGTCATCTAAATGATTATACTCAAATAATTTATTTTTTCTCTTTAATAGCGTAATTTGGCCATGGTTTGTAAAGTACACGCAAATCTGGCGTATCTTATTAATTATACATTTATTGCTAGATTTTTTGGTGTCTGCTACGTATTTTGTCGCTGTTTCATAATATTGTGGATCAATTAAGATAGAATTTTGCTAATATTAGTCCTGAAACCAAAAATAGCGACTCACTTGTAAAATACTGTTAATTATAATTATTATGAGGAATTACGATTTAGCGTTATATTTTACCTGAGTACTCTTGACTTGTTGACTGTTAGGTCCATAACTATTAATTATTTTGATAACTGACTTAATAGAGTGGCGTTGTTTTAAATAATAGCATTTATAGGATGTTTAGAAGCAATGCGTGTAAAGTGCTTTGGGAACCAATAATAAATAGTTTTCCGCCAAGTACAAGTAAGTATCTAATAGGTATTATTCGGCTGATTATTTATATATTTGTTACTTAATTTTTCCAATATTAATTTCTTAATTTCTTCAATCTTAAATAGATCTCACTATGATCATCTAAAAGGATTTTTCACTTTCTTATTGGTTGGTTCTTGTTAGGGTTCTTGATGGTTTCTGAGCTTTTTTTCTCGTTCCCAAAATCATGACACACATGTTCCAAAGTCCAAACAACCTAAGACTAGGCGCAGACCACCGAATATATATTGACCATATCCCATATCAAATATTTCAATTGCAATATTATAGTTATTAAACTAACGTTTCAGTAACTTTAATAATGCAAATATCTTATTGTTAACAAAATATTGATACAAAGAGCTAAGACCCTTTGTGTACCGTCGACAGCACATCAGAGAGTACGTTTTTGTTGCATTGTGGTACCTATTACCACCACATCGGATGTCCGAGTGTCCATCTTGATGTGCCGTCGTCCATAACTAAAGATGCAGTTAGAGTAGGCGCACACCGTTGATTTTGAGTTGGCCGATAGTTGTGCCCGATTTTAAATTGTATGAAGAATCGACCAAATCGAATCGGTGTAATGTGCGCACTTCCATACATGCCCATACTGATCAACTGCCCGACTAAACTATCGGCCGATGAAAAATCGATGGTCTGCGCCTAGGCTAATAGATATACCTGCCGTAATCACATCTTTTAAAGTAGCGAAGTAAAATGTATATTTATAGTGCTTACTTAATAACCAAAGTTCCATAATTCTGTGGTATTTTTGACAACTATAATATCAAATTTCCAACATTACTTTTTCTACATAGATGGTGGAATTGATTATGTGCTTAAATTAATGAAACGGAATGGAATTGCCAACAAATTATTTCGTAAAAGTATAATAACCGTTAAAAATAAATTTAATAAAAACAATAAAATGCCAGTGCTTCGGTTGTCATAATCGCTAAACGAAAAGTATTTGCAACACTTTTTCTACTTAGAAATAAATATCCTTAGACAAACAAATAAATATCAACTAAGTAAGTAAAATTGTATCTTGTCGTTTCTATTTTTAGTATCAACTGAGAAGGAAGAGAAACCTTAGTTTAGGTTTAGTTCAACAGATTTGTCAGAAAATATGCTTCTAACATCGTTTTCATCTTCATCTTAAATAGTGATTACATACCTCATGTGTATAAGCTTTTATCATTCAGTCATAGTTTTTACTAAAAACAAAAACTTACTACTTATTGCTCTAAATGAGACGACGTAATACGAGCTAACATAATAACCCCAGAAAGTACTTATCGGTCTAACTACATTAATATAACTGACTAAGATACAGGATGTAAGAAATAGGAAGTTGGCAAAAACATAAATAGACGTATGAACTAGTTACATTATATTATTTATTTGGAAAATCAATTTGCAAGTTCGCGTACAAAAAGACTATTATTATAGAGTTCAGAAACAGCAATAGCCCGTTTAGTTTTTACCAGACACCCTCCTTACATCCTGTATAACAGGTTCGATAGTGAAGACAAAAACCAAGAGTTCTATCCCATTCTATACATATTTTATTTATTATTCTAACAACACACAAGAGATATTTATTTTAGTAAAACTTGGTTACTTTATTTAATAATTATACTTAAATCAGCAATTATTTTTTATATTTCTAGTTCGTTAAGTGAGAAATGAAATTAATTATAATCAATTACTTTAAATAGAGGTTTATTTTTGTAAATTAATATATACCTAAGTAAGGTCTGTTCTGTTTTGTGCAATTTGTTATGTTTTATTTGTTTATAACAGAACTTAATTAACTCCACTTTTAGGAATCATATAATAAACTATAATAATATTTTGATTTGGTAACATATATGTATGAGATTTAATGTTACATTATACAATGGTAGGGTTGATTTGATTAAGTATCTTTCTGTCGTAGGAAAATATTTTGTATTGTCTATAAGAAAAAAGTGTAACTAATAATACAGATATTTGTAGCAATGTATTTTGTATAAAAACTATTTATGCTTTTACAAATCAGCAGAATGATTGTCTTCAAGATTATGATCTATTTAGCTTAGTACTTTAAAACTTTTGCTTATAAGTTAATTTGGGAAGTAACTACTATGTTTGCATGCAGGCGATAACATTTAACACTTATACCTAATAGGCAGTATCGCGTTAATTAGAAGTGCTTTTTTGTTTTTAAATGGAACTGCATTTCAAAAATGTGTTATTAGGGTAAACAAGCAACAATATTAATCTTTCGTTAAATTGTAATCACAAAAATTGAAATTTTAGTACCAAGTACTTACCTAATGCATTTATTTCTCGATTAATATAAATTATAAATATAAAGTCACAGAGTAGTTTGCATGTTAAAGTAAATAATATAAGATCTTTAAAAACATTAACATTGATGTGCAATACAATCAAAATACACAATTTGATACTCAGTCGGCTATCCTGAAATGATGCGAGGACTAATATCCGCTATTTTTAGGTAAATAATTATTTGTTAAGGTTTTAAGACAGTGTAGTCATATTTCTATTTATCTTAATACCAGTGTACCCTAATTAATTACATACTTACATATTAAAAATAATCATATTACCTAGGGTTAAACTTTCAACTGATCTCAATGATGCATAGTATTCAGTTTACACAATTCAGGTCTGCATCAGCCATCGTTAGATAATTAGGCCATGTTTTATTTTTATAATGACCTTATCGTAAATCTTTGTTTATGCTTAAATTTGAAAGCTAGATATTATTATTAAAGATGTACCGAGAGCAATTGATATGTTACTTAATTATTCATTTGATTAGTGTGTTAAATTATACGATTTTAAAATTGTTATATCTGGTCGCTTTTCAATCTATCGCAATGGAGTTCATCTTTAGTCATAGTGCGTAATTAATTGTAATTATTATAATTTAAAAACACAAATATTTATTGTTGATGAATGTCATATCTGCATGTATGTTGTACCTAATAGATTTCATGAAATACACATTATCCAAAAAAAGGCTTTAATTTTTCTTCCCCTTATTTGTAGTACCTTTTTTATGTTCACAAACTTATATTATTCACATTAATATTACTAAACACACTTAAATATTGCAATAACTTTTATAAGTCCTACTAAATGCAATAGTTCGTGTGGAAGTTTGAGACTCTTTCACGCTAAAACTACTGAATGGATTTTGATGACACTTTTGTTTACACTAACACAGATATCTATAGATCTATTTATTTTAAGAGATGTACTTTTAATTTTTTAAATGATATTTACAATAAAGTCAATGAGTGTTCAAAATATTTGTGAAGAGGTAAGTATGTATAATGTGTCATACGGAAAATTTGTCAAAATTTAACTAGGGTAAACCAGAGAGTGATTGCCCACTGGTAGTGATTGCCCGCTTTAAGAATAATATCGTCAGGTGCTGACTTTGAATCACTCTAGTTAGATTTGAGTTTACTAAGTAGATGGCTCCGAGATCAATGTACAGTATATTTAAAATTTACAATAGGAAACACTAAAAAAAAACAGTTATGGCGGATTTTGTCAAGACGGGTGAAAATGTTACTCAAACAGGTAAAGACTTAACAATTTTTCTAAGGAATTACTTGCTTAGAGGTTAAATTTATTTACAAGTTATTTAATATTCAACTAATGGTGTATACTCATGATGAAATTATAAGTGTTTTCTCCATTATGAATGAAAATAACTGATAAAATTTGATTTCTAACGGTCATTTTAACGGTGGGTAATCACTGCACGTAAATCTGTATATTTTTAGTTATTGCCCACCATCATTTCAGTTATTGCCATATGTTAATGTATAGTTATGAGGTAAATAAAATTATAAATAACCGTACGAATTTTCTTCTAGCTTCCAATAATGGCGGATACCAGAAACCAAGTAAGTGTTAATTATATAATTAAAGTTCAAATCTCACTACATATATGAGTATATTTTCTAATGGCTTCATTTTTAAAAGTCCAAAGACACCTAAAGGATGTAACGTGTAAGTTAGTAGCATAACCTTGTAATTCGAAATCGATATTTTTTTATCTAACAGCTGCTATGTCTAGAAGAGATCGCTTCCTAGCGATAATAGCACATAAATGGTGACATTCCCTCGTTTAGTTTACATACAGACACAGTCCATTTAAGTAAGTATGGAATGATTACGACCTCATTTTATTTAGAATTTGGATACTTATTGTTTTTATAGGAAAGTTTGTTGCATTTGGGCAGTAGAATCAATGGTTTTGTTTGATCCATACTTTAACGGACAGCCTGTGTAATATAGGTAGGTACTAGTGTTATATTACTGTGATAATATCCTCAAAACACATACTTTGTTATTACAGGTACCGGACCCGCCTTCGTTGGCCAACAATACCCACGGCCTTACCAGAGTATGTATCCCAAAGACCTCATAATTTATTACCACAGTCGATTCAAATCCTAGCAAAATCGGTCAATATTGTTAAAATGTTCAATCTAAGTAACTACGTACTTAATTCGTTTAAAGTAGGTTTATTAAGTTTATTAAGTAAAGTAGGTGTCTGACTGGCAGAATCAGTACTCGTAATTGTATTTACAATAATAATATACTAGCGAACCGCCCCTGCTTTACATAAATTATACTTAAAAACCTTCCTCTTGAATCACTCTATTTAAAAAAAACCGCATCAAAATCCGTTGCGTAGTTTTATAGATCTAAGCATACAGTCATAGGGACAGACAGACAAATATGTAGTGATTATCACTAATATTTAAAAAAAACTGTATTCATGTGCTCAAAAAGTGAAGATGGTATGAAATTCCATTAGGAGATGGGGTGTTGAAATTCCGGTAGAGGAGAGCATGAGGGCACGGGACCCTTAGGTTTTTAATATTATAAGAAGGCATTTAACGTTTTTTTTTATTGTTTCAGACCCGAACCTTCGCAATGGAAAGTAAATAAATCAAGTTCCTGCTGTTCCTGATTTCCCGCTGGTTTATTGAACTTGTATACTTACCTACTTATATGACAACACATTAACAAGGATTATTAAATAAATATCTTGAAACTTAATCAATGCCGTCTATTATTTAACTGTTTTACTGGCACATAGCTCGTAGGTAGAGCAGTAGAGCTGATGGCAGCTGGGGCAGGAAAGTTCTCGAGTGGCGACCACGAGTCCACGAGTCGAAAGACGTACTAGTGTGGGCAGGTCTCCCACTAGATGGACCGACGATCTGGTGAATGTCGCGGGAGGTGCTGAATGCGGGCGACACAGAACCGGTCTTTGTGGAAAACTTTGGGGGAGGGCTTTGTCCAGCAGTGGACGTCTTTCGGCTGCAACGAAGGAATGAACGATTTAACTGTTTAATTTAATTGGAGCATTTTGATGTAGGTAGGTGGGTACTCTCAGATGGGTAAATATAGGTACCAATTCAGTTTTAAAGCACATACACACATAAACACTTAACTCTGGCAATTATTTCCTAATCACATCTCCCCAAAAATCGGACTCGTGAATGAATACGGATAGGACGACTTCTAAACGTCAACGACATTTTGATTTACAAAATAAATACGTGAATTTTAGGCCACTGTATAGGAACCAGGACGTGGCGCTAAAAATGTTTTCCTGAAACTGATAACTCTTTTGTTGTCATCGTATTGGGGACCTCAAACCGAGAAAAAAAGGTCATGTAGTTCAGCCCCGTAGGACCAACCCTCTGACCTCTTTAAGAGATTTAACGATTTTTCAAAAAAAATCGTATTTTCGCATATCTATGCGTGATCTAGATGATGTCGAAACCAAGGCGAAAAGGTCATGTAGCCCACCCTCGTAGGACCCTACCCCGATCATGTTTAGAGACGAGTGAAGTTCTAAAGCGCTTGTGACCTAATTCACGTAACAAAACTTCGACATGCTAAAAGTAAGGTAGGAACGTAACTTTAAAGATGACAATCTTAGAAAGATAGATGATCTTTTTCTTTGAAAATTTTAAGAAAAACTCATATTAAATTATGATAGGATGGAGCGGCATGAAGTGTCCAATTTTGCTTTCCTTTAATGAACCCAACTAATTAGATGTACTACATAAACTTTGTGAAAATATACTTTATTATCCTCAATTCAAATACCAAACTTCATTCCAGAGATTTTAAATAACATTCGAGGCAATGTTTACAAACATTGAGTATTTAAGCGGAATTGTGTAAGGAAAATGTGTTCTCATACTTCTCATAAAAAAATCAGTTCGCATATCAATGTGTACTTAGCTATGTTTAATCGCGGGTCGCGAGGTGTTATCTATAGTCATAAAAGGTTAACATCCAAATTTTTTTGATTAGTACACAACTGATTTTTGTGAAGTGCAGTACCTATTTACAACAATGAAAGCCGCTTTGGTAAGTAGGACTCGAAAATAACATGCACGACGTTTGGGCGAAGCAATGGCATACCTGTATAGTTACGAGAAATATCGATTTCAATAATCTATATTACTTGATAACGCAATCAAACACTGCTGAAACGGAACAGTAAAATGTCTGTGTTAATTCGTCATTACAAGTAAATAAAATATAACTACGTACAGCACCTTTTCACTAAGGACGATTACGCTGCAGCATCCGATTAGAGGCTCTGAAAACTCTACCTAGCAAATATTGCGCCTGGTGAGACTGAAACTTCGGATTCGAAGCAGTGCGTAGGATAGCTGTAAAATATGCCACGCCATGCTGTTCGTGTGAACTTGGCCTAACAAATAAACTGGGTTATTAGCACCCACGCATCCCTTTATGAAAGAAAATCCTGTGTTTTGCCAAAATAACTTGGGGACAAATCGTTTACTTAAATTGTGTTATCCGTGAAAGATAAATATTGATAACATTGCCCAATGCTGCGGTCAGTAATAAAATCGACGTAAAATCCACTCGTATGCCTATGTACAGTCAGCGTCAAATATTTCGTATCACCCAAAGTTGCCAAAAAGTTCGCAACACTTCTTTTTTGGGATGGACTGGCAACACGTCTAAGCTTTTTGTTACAATTGGAATAAGGTTGTGTTGTAACTTTTTTTTCACTTTGGGTGTCACGAAATATTTGACGCTGACTGTACGCAGGAGTGTAAAATGGCTTTTTCTATAGTGTTTCTTTTTATTATTTTTTACAGATTATTTCATTGGCCTTGATGGTGATGGTCGCCGCTCAAGAGCCCGGTAAGTAAACATACACACAAAGAAATAAATAGGTACATACTTTATTTATTTCATCAAATTAGACATCTCTGGTTAGATACTAAACTCACTCGGATGTTTATTACATATAGTTAACTTTCACAATTAAGAAAATAAAAAAATAAATTTTGCACATCACTGAAGTAAAGTTATACGTTTTATTTTTGTAACCCTACTTTTATAATCATCTAATCTTTTAATTTTTCAGTGAACATTGTGGACCCAGCCCGTAAGTAACAGGCGTTTTCTTCGGTAAATGGGTTTGGGAAGATTAATCGTTAAATTAATTCTTTTGTTAAGAGCAAATCTTAAAAACGGATCCTGATTTTCTTAAATAAGTAATTAGTATTAGAATAATTTCCCAAAAAATGTAAAACGTGCGCAGCCACGAACAGATTTTTTTAAAGAAATAAATAAATAAAATTCAATAACCGAAGTTATTTTGTCTAAACTTTAACAAACCGACATCTTTATAAATTTTTCATAGAGACACTAGACATATTTAAACTATCCATAGACTCTACTACGATTTTAAAGGATAAACATCACCATCATAAAACATCATTTATTTAATATTTAATCATTGTTCCACAGTTTTTGATCCGGCCTTTTCTCAACCCAGCATCTACGACAGTAAGTAAATAATTTTGAAAAATTTAACCTGTTGAAGTGTTGATATTTAAAGGACAATGTTCGTTCT